CTCTTTCTCAGGCAATCCAAAATGCCATTATATTTCGGCCAAGAGAGTGTCTGAGCCTGCAACCTCGTCTTTACAACGTCCAAAGGGTAGCTGAAAACCCAGCTCACAACCCCGGCCAGTCCTCCTGAAAGCAGCATAGTATTCAACCTCTCTTCACAACTTGTTCTGCAACCAGGGTGAAGCTTCTCCCTAGCGTATTCGTATGTCCAAAAGTATAAGCCATGTGCCGGTGCATCACGTAGCATGGTGATGCCAAGCCCTCGGTAAATGCCACGCAGACCCTCTTTTTTCCATATGTTTTTGGCCACCCTTATGGGACCCTTTTGCGGTTCTCTTGTGTTGTGCTTGTGCAGCTGAAGGCGAATCTTCACTAACTCCACAGGGGAGAGCAACATGCTCTGCAAAGCGCCGCTACAAAATCCTCCTAACGCCACACCCTTGTAGGAAGGAGGCTCGTTAATTGAAACGGACGAGCTAAATGCCCTCGACAGAACTGCGTAAATTTGGAAAACCATTGCGTTCTGCACCCAACAAATAAAACTCTCAATCACTTCGCTTCTGCTCACTCCTCACTCACATTTTGAGTTCATGTGATCACATTTTGTATTCAACTTTTTACTGGTTTTTTTAATCCTATCAATAAGTGTCCTAACAATATTAACTAACAAATATTAATATTATTTTATTTTTATAGTTTTTCTTTCTTAAGCTGTTAAAAAAATATCATCTAAAAATTATTAGAATAAGTTTAATAGTAAAGGTAGAAATAGTATACACAAAATCTCAATTTTAATATTTACTGTAACTTTATAAAAAATATTAACAAAAAATGTATAATTAATATTCTGTAAACAGACATAATAAATTATAATATCTTGGAATATCCATCATTAATTTTCTTTATTACCATCTAGGGTATAACTGAATCCTGAAATTTATTTTGAGACAGCCTTTCTGCAAGTGAGTTGGCTTCAACCATTGTACATTTAATAATCAATGGAATTACATAACTCATGAAAACTGGCAGATTGGTTGGTTGTGGTCTCCCACGTGAAGGATACAAAGGGATATACCCCCATTATCCACACGTGATGCCCCTGAACTTAAAACATAGAACGTAATGGTATGTTTGGTTTAAAAAATGATAACGAAAGAAATGAAAGTGAGAAAAAAAAGAAAAATAATTTTTAAACGGTTTAATACCAAAATAAAATTGAAAGGAAAAAAAATAATAAAAATAAATAAAAATTAAATATAGTATTATTAGTAGTGTTGATATTATTTCTCAATCAAAATCAGAATCTTATTTTGATACTTACATTTAATGTAAGATTCGGTAATATTTATTTATGCACATGTAAAACAATAGTTTTGAAAAAGAATGACCTACGTACGAAATTGTAAAGTTAATTTTTTTTTTTCTTTTTTGATAAAATGAAGGGATGAAAGTGAAAGAATGACCTGAAAGGTAACAGAGGCTAAAGGTGCAGCCATGCCACGGTAGAGAGCAGTTGGTCCTTGTTTGGCGAGGAGATTTCTAAGGATGGTGAAGGCAGAGCCATTGTTGGAGTTCTGTTGCATCACACGCAGCGTGTCTAATGGGTAACCAGAGATTATGCCAGCAGTGCCTCCAAACCCTCCTGCAACAAACTCTTTACCGGTGCTGCTCGCAAGAAATTCTGGCCAAAATTCCATTACCACCTTCCTCAAATGACAAGTAAAACTGTTACAATTTTATAGGCCCAAGCCTAATGAAAAAGATGAATAAGAAAATAATGAGAGAAGAATGGTCTACACGTAGCATACCTTAATTAGTCACGGAACTTGGATGTGATTTCACTATCTCGCAGAAGCGATCCGCTAACTTTTTGAAACGTGCGTTAACAAACAAGAAGCTAGGACAGGAGGAGGAACACCTCGTTTAAAATCTGAAAATAACGTCACGGAATAGGACAATTATGTTTTGAATAAGTAGTGGGAAGTGGGTTGCAGAGATCGCCTTGATTGTGAGGTGGTGTGAGATCCACTTTCTATTTGCTTTCCAAAACCAAGAAACATTTAAATATATTTATAAAAAATACAAATTCATTAATTTTTTGGATCAATAAATGCATTTAAAAAAAAATACAAAGCTGAACAAAATTTGAGATAAAGATTTAGTACATAACTGTCTAAGACATAGTAAATGTGAGATTTGGTGAATGACACTTTTTTAATCATCTATAATAGATCTAATACTATTTTAAAATAGTAAATTTGAGTTTGACTCAACTCTACAAAATTAACTTATAAGGTGAAGATTATTTTTTATTTATATATTGAAAATGATAGATAGTCAAAACGACTATTCATAAATCTTTTCAAATATATAAAATATTAATTTAAATTATAAAATATTAAATTAAATAATTATTTTTTAATAAATTTATTATAAAATATTAATATTTTAATATTTCGGATCATATTTCAGACATTGAATAGGAGGATATATCATTCTTTTTATATATTATATAATTGTCTAATTTCTAGGTGACGTGAGACTTAAAATTTTCTTAATATTTAGCATGAATTACTTTCTAGATACATGATTTATTATAAATTAGATTAATTCTTGTTATGTATCTAGATATATAATTTATTATAAATTATATTAATTCTCATATTTGTAGTTGAAAGCATAATATTCTTTGTCTCGAATATATGTTAAAAAAATCATACGAATGAAGAAAATTAGTTAATGTTTTATTTGTTATTAATTTTTTTACGCCAATATATGTTATTAATTATAATTAACAAATTAAAATTTTCTTTTAGCTTTATAGTAATAATCAACCATTTTTAAAGTTATTCAAAGATAAATTTATTTTATATCCTTAATTTATTCTTAATTTTATGTCTTATGCATTTACTTATTTTCTATTTATTGGATTATGAGTATTAGTATTAAATATACTAATTACTTAAAGAAAACAATATCTTTAAAATAAAATTTAAATTTATAGTAAAATTAATTAATTTAATTATCTTAATTTAAATGATTTGTCTTATATTATTTATAATAACATGAAGTAGTATCACTCAATTTAATTAATTTCATTTAAAAACTAATTTTCTAAATTACATTTTATTGAAACTAGATATCAAGAATAAAAATGATAATTGAAAATATAATTTTAATTAGAACATCTTTGGTGTATATATCTTATAAGTTGGTTAAACATAAACAACAATTATCGGAAGAAAATGTACATAATTTTTTTATACATAATGTGACTTTGTAGGATCCAATTAAATAAGATACTCAAAATGAAATTTTAAGTAACATTTAATATACATTTAAGATATAATATAAGAGAACAATTAGGACATGCTTCTAAACTCTTTAGGCCTATTTTAAGGAAAAAACTTATATAAAAATAAAGTGATATTTTCGATCATAATTTTATACTTAAGTCGACATTTGAAAATTTGTTTGGCTCTTAATTATTTTTAGTTAAAGAATTTAAGTGGGCTTCTTCTAAAGTTATTTTATTGGTCACTACTTTATAGGTGTTAATCAAATGATTGAATTGACATGGACTTTCATGAGAAACCTCGGTCAATTCGTTTTGTAACTCGCATGATTGAATTGACAGTAGCAGAAAACTACTTATATTTGATGAAGAAACCTATGTGGTCAGAGAACATAATTTGGTCTCCTCCGGGAAGCCCTGCTTGAAGCTTAACGTTGATGGTAGTAGGATGGATGAGTTCCAAGTCATGGGCGTTGGCAGGGAGGTTTTGTTTGCTCATATGCAAACGGTGACTCCTTAAGAGCTGATTACAGTTTTGTTGGGATATGGGGTTCAAAAGTATTATGTGAGTCACACTGTGTGGGGGCAATACAAGCTGTTCAAGGCCCAAAACAAGTTAAAGATAGTTGGCACAAGCACAACGATGTTTTATGTAGAATTAAGGATGCACTGGCGTGGGACTGGCATGTCACCTTAGTCACTGTTTCGCGCACTGCAAATACAGTGGCCCATGTTCTAGCCGGATGGGGTGCTAGGAATGCTGCTACCGATGTATTGTGGAGGAGCCTTCTTGATTTTGCCTTACGTGCAGTAGAAGAAGATCTGTAATTTTATCTTTTCGTACTTTACCAAAATAAAAATAAAAATCAAATGGCTCAACAAAACTCAATTTAGCATTTATCTGAACAGAAGTTTTTCAAAGAATACCACTCAAATCTTTTATGGGCCGATAGCACACCAAAATAAGGGCCTAAGTTTATTCATAAATAATAGGGTTGTGTGTATATTCACTATGGTGGAAGCCACGTCAAATTAGATCCAATTTGGATAGATTTATTATCTGATTCAATCAAATTTTAATGAGTTGAATTAAGTTAGGTTTGTTCAATTTTTTTTTAAAATCTAATCCAATTATAAATGAGTTGGATTGGATTAGATTAATCGGATCAATATAATTAAATATATTTATTTTTTGTGAAAATTTAAATATTTCAAAATATATGTAAATTATTTGATACATTATTATAAATACAATGTTATCAACTTATAAAATAAATAATGATACAAAGTAAATTCTAAAATAAATTTATTAATTTGTTACATTAAATCAAAAGTCTGGTAAGGATAAGAAGATTTTAATCTCTAGTATTCATCTGTTTGTAAAGTTTGAGATGTAGTTCTTTTTCTATCATTATGTTTTGCTTTGTGTTGTAAGCGTTTTAATCTATACTGATAGTATTGTAAACTCTTTTGATCACTCCTTATAATTAAAAGAATCCTTATTTACTAAATGAAATTTTGCCTTTTTAAAAAAAATATATATATGTAATGTTGATAGTGTTGCTTTGCTTGATTAGAATGAATTTTGATGTCTATGGAGACTTCATTATATCTTTGTGGAATATCAGCTCCATGGAACTGTGGAAGTTATATAAACCAATGCCAATTGTATTATTTATTTGTGTTTGTGGCATGTCTCCACGTGTTTCCTTCCACGTATATTGTTTACCTCGGACGACATCCACAGGTCAACATTTTGCCAATTTGCCATTGGGCACCAAGCTGAGAGGTGTCATGAAAACAGATAAAAGAAAGGCTTAATGTTGCTTCAATATTTGAGATGCATTCAAATGACAAGGGCAATGACGTAAAGCTAAACTAAGAACGAAAGATACAATAATTTGATACTGTCTGATGACATGGGAAAGGGAATTTCTGTTTATCACTTTCGGAAATTAATTTTTAGAATGCTGTTTTGAAATAAATAGATGTGTCGGCACTCGGCAGCAATGAGGATCAAAGACTTCCTGAATTGATTTTATTATTACAAAGGATGTTCTGTTGTTAACTGCCGTGATTCACAAACCTCACTTATATAGATAAAGGTTGGGGCCATTGCATTGGAAAGCTGTGTGCAATAGTAAACTTCACTCATGAGATACATACAGGTTGGGCGTCTAAACCACAATGGTTATCAAATTTTATTATATTAGTCTATTAGATAAATTTGATCCATGTCTTGGTAAAACTATTTCATTTTTTTGTCCAGCTTGTTGGCGTTAGTTAAAGCAAAATTTTGTAATTAAACGCAGAGAAATATTTAGACTTTATTCCACTTTTAATCTCTTTACAATCTTCATTAAAAAAAAATAATCAGATTTAACGATGTCAAGTGAACAGATATGAATAAAAATTATAGAATTAAAATAATAAGATCAAATTTGTGAAATGAAGATATAAAAGACGACCAAAAGCCAACTAGGTCATACATTTGTTGCTTGCTAAATTAATAATCAGATATATTATCTAAAAGGAGTGAAAGGCTAAAAGCCATGCTTTCTTAGCATAAACAACAAAACCAAGAACTATCACGGCCAAAATGATGCTGAAATTTCAGCCAGGTAATAATCGTTTGTAATTTCTTCAAAATCTTAAAAAGTAGATTACGGTGTACACAATTGTACAATTATCTTCCATGCGTACTAGACAGTGTTACATCATTTAAGGAATTAAATTCTTGCCTACTGTAAGGAGGCTCTGACTCTTCCACAATCTGATTGATGAAGAATGCTGGCTTCTTTGGTTGAGGAATTTGGATTGTATCATTTGATAGAAATGAAATAATATCTACCATGTTTGGTCTATCTGTCGCTTGATCTTGTACACACAAGAGGCCAATATGAATACATCTCAAAACTTCATTGCGAGACCATAATTCATTTAATGTTGGGTCTATCAGCTCCAGAACTCTGCCTTCATTCCAAAGCTGCCACGCCTACAAGAATCTCGACATCCTTAAAATAAAACTCTTATCCTTTGATAAGCATAGATTTAATGGACTAAAGACCAATTATTTCTGAAACTTACGTATCCTATAAGGTTGAGTGGGTGATCCGAATGATAGCGACTGTTATTCTTCTTGCCACTAAGTATCTCAAGTAGCAGTACACCAAAGCTGAACACATCTGTTTTGATTGACACAACACCATTTATTGCATATTCTGGAGCCATGTATCCACTACAAAGACAAATGTTTGCATAAAGATAAATAGAAAATGGAAATTTAAAAAATGAATGACTGTAAACAAACTTACTATGTACCAACAACTCTATTTGTATTTTCTTCTGATGCTCTTACACCAAAGATTCGAGCCATGCCAAAGTCAGATATTTTAGGATTCATCTCATGATCAAGCAATATATTACTTGCTTTCAAGTCTCGATGTATCACCTTTAGTCTTGAATACTTGTGAAGATACAGAAGTCCTTGAGCAATGCCTCCAATGATGTTCAGCCGTTTTCTGCAGTCGAGCAAATTCTTTCTTGCAGAATCTGTTTAAAGCAAGGATGCTTGTTAATATTCTACATGCTAACATTTGGCACATTCTTCCCTTTGTTAAGATAAAAGAAAGCCTACCAAACAAGTAGAAGTCTAAACTATTGTTAGACATGTACTCATAGACCAATATTCTTTCTTCTCTCTGGATGCAGAACCCTAAAAGCTTTACAAGATTAATGTGCTGAAGTTTGGCCATGAGTTTGGCTTCATTTGTGAACTCTATTAGCCCTTGTCCAGAATTTTTTGATAGTCTCTTTATTGCTACTTCTTGCTGATCACTCAAAGTTCCCTGAAGGTATCATTATATCTGTTCTTATTCTGATACTTTCAAATTTAAGTATGCAAATTAATTATTTTGCAGATATAGTTTCAAATTACCTTATAAACTGGACCAAAACCACCCTCTCCTAGCTTATTAGCAACTGAAAAATTGTTTGTGGCAGCATCGATGGTTTCAAAAGTGAATATTTCAACCTCATTGCTTGTCTTTCCCTTGTTCTTACTTTTTATGGTTTTGCCGAACACCATTGAAAGCATAGCATTACCTCCAATGTCATGCAATATCTTCTCCTGCATCTTCTTTCTCTCCACTGGTGGTGTGACACGAAAATATAAGTTATAAAGAGGTCTTACATGATGCTTAAACTCAAAACCATATCTAATTTTTACTATATGGTAGTTACCTTTTGCTTTGTATTTTCTCAACAAGGCCCGACATAAATAAAAGATCACAGGCATTGCAAGGGCAGCTCCCACCCCAAGGATGAGCCATATCCACCACCCCTTTCCTGCAACATATAGGAAGATAATTTACTTCTCTGAAAAGGTTGCTGAAAAAAAATTTAGATTGCAGTTAGAGGGTTTGTTACTCATGTATTCTTAATATATATCCTAAGCAAGGTACTTGAATGAAAATACTTCCAAAGAATCAAGAGTTATGATCAACTGCCTGCATCCAATTATCTGTAACTGGTAGGTGCTATTAATTGTGATTACTTCTTATTATTGTCGAAGATTATTCAGTAATTCCTATTTTTTTATGGTAAGAAAGATCACAATAATGACAACAAGATTCAAACCTAGAACTTTATATATACTATCCAATTTTCTACTACAAGGCTGACCCTAAAAGTTCAATATTCAGTTAAGCTGAAGCCTTATATGTCTATTTCATTAAAATGTTGAAGATAAAGCAACCTTTTCATAACATAAATATAACATTTTGAAATGAACTAGTAAAACAAAATGGCAAATGATAACAAATGTCCTTACATTCTTATTACTGGTTCAGTAGAGAAAACAAGATTTACTAAGTTTACTAGTCAATGTGATTTTCATTAAATGTTTCATATTTGTTTTAATTTCCTAATCAGTTGGGTTAGGACTGTCTTTAGGGGACACAAGGGAATCCGAACGAACCTTTGTGTTCTTCTGGAAGCAGTGTAACAGAAACGTAGATTGGCAGTGCTAAATCCCCTGAAGCTTTGAAAAATTTGGTTCCTTTGACCCATATCTGGCATCCGGTACTGTCAATGTGATTTATTGGGGCATATGCTTCACAGGAACAGTTGTTCTTACATGCAATCTCACAGCAGTTTGTTCCATTGTTGTCTTCATAAACTTTGATGCCAACAGTGGACATGTCACCAACACGTTCAACAAAATTGCCATCCCGACTCCTGCATGAAGGAAGGCTTTGCTGTGTGCACAGAGGATTTGTTGTCTCATTTAATTGAAAATTTTGAATGTAAGTACCGTATACATTCATTATATCAGGGTGGCTTGACCACAACATGACACCTCCATATTTTGATGAATTGTTTATTGCAGGTAAAATCTGAGACATCAATACATCAGCTGCAACATAACCACTTCCAGCATCAGCTTGATCCGCTGGTAACCCCAAAAATAGTTTCCCTCCTTTCAATGATGAGGCCCATTTGTTCCATGCTTCTAAGAACTTATTGAAATTTTCTTGGGTACAATCGCATGGAGGATTGTTATAGAATTGTACCCAGACATAGTCAAAAAAGCCTGTATCAAGGGCCTCACCCAGGTTAGCATCAGGAAATGGACACTGAGGAGCTGCTGACAAGTATACTTTGCGTGTGGATGAATGTGATTTGAGGTAACTTGTAAGGTTCCCCATGTATGATGATCCAGCTCCTGCTATGTCAAAGTCAATGCCATCTAATACTGCATCACCGAATGGGCGTGATGAGGAGGATCCACCAAGGAAATTGTCCCACAAGTAATTTGACACATTTTTGGCATCCTCAACCGAAGTTAGAGAGTAAGTGACTGATCCTCCTCCAATAGAAAGCATCACCTTGATCCCTTGCTTTTGACAATTCTTAATATCTCTCCCAATCTCAGTGCACCCATTTGTGGAAGTGTTACAATGACCTGCCAGATTGAGTTTAGGGGTTTGGCCATTCCCAAACGTGGAGAGGAATGCTATGTTGACATAAGAGTATATTCCTGTTGCACATGTTTCAGTAAGGTTTCCCTCGTTGGTGCTTTGGCCCCAGTAAACTGCTATCTTTTCGGCTTCAGAGGGGTTAAGGAGTTGGAGGATGAGGAACAACAATAAAGGGGAGAACACATTTCTGCTCATCTTCCTCTGTTCTTTGTTGTCACTTATTTTTGTATATCAGTCCAACCTATATATTAATGATTTCGAAATCACCTTAATTTAAGGTGTTTTCTTGTCCTTGTGATTAAAAATTCCACACGCGCCTTTGAAGTTTAACACATTTTGTCTCTCTTTCCACCCTGTCGATGACTCATTCAAAAATGATACACTATTGACTCGTTGACTCATTATCTACTCTTGTTTATGCAACTATTTTCCAGCACTAAAGTAATTTTAAAATAATTTTACGCATGTTCAGTTTTTACACTTAATCATCATTTCACGAAGACACGAAATATATTTTTTTTTATTAGTCAGTGATAAGAGTAATCCTATTTATTTATCTCCTACAAATTATAAATATTTAAATACACACGTTATTTTTTCTCTATTTCTTTTTCTTAATATATCAATCATTTATTTATTTTTTTTATCTTTCTTAATAATATTGTCAGGGATGGAATATATATAGAAAATGTTTAGATTTAGTAAGAATATTTTTTTATATATTATGAGTTATGATAAATTAAATTTTTTTTTATACTTGTGTACAAATTATAAGGAGTAAATTGAATGAAAAATTTATAAAATCTCCCTCAACTTTAGCAAATAAAATTTATTGTTTTCTTCTCAAAGTTGCTTTGATTTTTACAAAACAATTTAAAACACTTAGACCAATATTTGCTAAAAAAAAATAGTAACTTAATTACTTAGATCATTTATTTATTAAAAACACATCACTTAGTGTAGAAAAAAAAATGAAAGTGAAATTTTTTTTCACATTTTATGTCATTTTTATTAGTTTAAAAAATTGGTTGTATTAAAACATCTCAATTTACTAAGATACCATAGTAATTCCTTTTCCTCATTTCGTATTTCTTCTTGCAAATTTTCATTTGCTTGTTGAGATTTTCGTTGAAACTACTTTTGTTATCATTGTAAATCATTTAAATTCTATCAACGGACTCAAACACGGCAAGTATACCGGTCGTTCAAGTAGTAAATTATATTGTATTCACATGAACTAGTAGGTAAAATAAGCATTTATTGACTATTCGTGATTAAAGAATGATTCCAATTTCATAGATTGTCATGCAAATTTGAATTAAAGATTATGACTATTGAAATGTTAAACTATAAAATTAATTGTGTATGTGTGGAAGGGATAGAAATGGTGTTGTGGTTTTGTAAGATTGTGGGGTTAGAAATCACCGAACGTCACACTAATGAACCTTTAATCTCTTGTTACATTCATTGCTTAGTCAACCCATAAGTTTACTCAAACCTAATCCCTTAAGCAAGAGCCTAGGTGCAAGTAATGAATATCAATTCCTTGAGTATCCAATACCTACACCCGCATTACGGGTTAGGGTTTAAGACTACTAATGGGTCAAGCTCCATTCCTAGATACATTTCCCACTAGGCATTTGTTTCAGAGCTAGTTTCAATAGTTATTTTTCAATACCCAATGGAACATATATCAAGCAAAGGAGGATCAATCCAAAGCAAGTATTAAGAACAGAAACATACACAACAATGAATGAAACAACATATATATATATATCATCAAAAACGTAAAGATTACATAAGAGTTTCGTTGGTTACATCTAACGCCACAAAATAATGGGTAGAACCACTCAAAATAATGAGGGTGAAACAAAAATGGAGATGGAAGAGAGATGGAAGAAATGAAGAAAAGACTCACACACGAACGGTCCCAAGCACCGGGAATCCCTTCCTCAGCTCCTAGAAGTCGCTCAATGTGTGAATGAGGGAAAAATCCTCGAAGACTTGCTCAAATACGAGTTCGGGGAGTCAGATTAGGGTTACCACGCCCGGCGCATTAGTCTTTGCGCCCGGCGCAGGGCCTTCCAGAGAGTTTGGTTACTCTCTGTCTCAAGACACGCTCGGCGCAATTTCTTTTAAGTCGGGTGCGACGTCTTCTAGAGAGTTTGAGTTGCTCTTTGTCTCGAGCACGCCCAGTGCGTCTTCTTGTGCCTGACGCATTTCTACATTGCAGAGAGTGTGACTCTCTGTTCTTCTCAAGCCCGGCGCGGGTAGTCTTGTGCCCAGCGCAATTACTCTTCTCCTGCTCCTTAGCTCCTTTAATTTCCAATCCAATGGGCCTTCAACTTTCAACTCTTCACCCAACACCTGCACAAAAAATGAGGTGTATCAAGGTATTGTTAGATGAAATTGGGTTAGCTATATCTACACAAAAATTGAATCAAAAAGAGAACAATTATCTTGCAAGGGTGCATAGGATGGGTGGAATTTTTCAATAAGTCTTGACTAAAAAGAAGTATAATTGAGACTTAACACTTTCTCTCTTTTATTTTTTACTCTTCACCTCACATACTTTGCTACTCGAGAGTAAAATTCTTTTATGCATTATTGAATCTCAAATTCTATACAAAATGTTGGCTAGTAATGCTTTAATCTTTATCTTTTTTCCTTTCCTTTATTTTCTTTTGGTTTAACGAACTTTTTTTCTTCTTCTTTCAGCAACAAATCACAATTGAAGTTAATAAAGACGAAGTAAGATATGGAATAAAAAGAATGTTGGACAAATTTTTTTGAAATAAGACATCGTCGACCTTTTTCCGAATGATCCTGATTACAATGCACATGAAAGGGTAAATTTTCCTAATCTCATGATTTGCTCAAAGAAATGCAAAGAATTCTATTTAAAAAAATTGTAACAGTCAAAATTGAATTCAAATATTCAATCATGATTATGTAATCAACCTATTAAATGTTTCTTTCTTGAGTGAATACTTATAATTTGATCAAAGGGAATAAGATCTAAAGCTATTATCCTCCTTTTTAATTGATTTCTTGAGTAAAATCATCTAAAAAAGGTTCCTATTGCACTACATCTTGCATTGTCCAATTTTTTTTATGCATGTAGTAGTATATTGTAATATGTTATTTACACGTGTGAGTATATGCATTAGACTTATTAGTCATCGATTTAAATTTTTTAAACTTGGACACAATTTGAAGGGCTTCTCATGTCAAATGAACTTCTAATAATTTAATTCTTATTCATATATTTGTTGAAACAAATACTTTGATTGTTTACTAATTAATGATAAGTAAAACTCACTTCATCTAATTAAGACAATGAGTTAAGTCTTTCCTCCAAAGCCTTGTTGTGCTAGTCTATAGAGAAGCTAAATCATGTATGATATGTCATTTACACCATGTGTGAGTATATGGAGTAAGCTTATTAGTCATCTTAGAGTTAAATTCTTTACACTTGTCTGAAGGACTTATGGTGGAGCAAAATATGTCGCCATCCTATTAACTCATTACAAAGTTTGCTAGTTGTGTATCAGATCATGTTCAAGACCTTTGATCCACCAAAAGCCCTTTAACTTGTGTGTAAAGAATTTAACTCTAAAATGACTAATAAGCTTAATGCATATACTTGCACATAATGTTAATATCATATCACACATAATTAAACACAAGAGTTCTTTATAAAATGATACAACAGGGCTTTGGAACATAGACTTAACTCATTGCCCATTTACATTAAGCGAGCTATACTTATCATTAATTAGTAAACAATCAATTATTTGTTTAAGCAAATATATGAATAAAAATTAAATTATTAGAAGTTCATTGACATGAGAAGCCCTTCAACTTTGGTCAAGTTTAACAAATTTAAATCCAAGATGACCTATAATCGTAATGCATATACCTTAAATAACATATCACAATACACTACTACATAATGCAAAACATAGTGCACTAGGAGTCTTTTGAGATAATTTTTCTCAAGAAACCAATTAAAAAGAGACTGAATAACTTAAGATAACATGTTGCTTTGATGCAAGAAAGCAAGTATTGTACCAAAAAGCAATCACATTAAGTATTGTCTTGTAAATTACACCAGTCGGCAGTGGTATTTCATGTTAGAAATCAATTAGTTGTTTGTATAGTTCAATAGTGAAAGAAAATTAACAACAAAGCAATTAATCTTTTGGACAACAAAAACAAACATTTTTTTATCACCGACCAAGCTTCGAATCAAAAGGTTTGTGGATTAAGGATAGGAAAAGGACTTGTATAAATACATAAATTCCAAGAACACAGAAGAATGCTGTCGGTGCAAAAATTCGACTAGACCTTATATGGAGAGGTAGGGAACAAAAATTTTCAATTGGAATTTTGAATTCCCGCATAATGGAGAGTGCAATTAATAATGTCAATTACCACGGTGAGTGTTTTCTTCAACCTTACGTTTATATTTTTCACATTAGTTGCTACCCTATCCACCTGTAAAATTAACCTACATACTAGTCACCTTTATATGCACTCATAACAATATTATTTTGTGAAAAAAATAAATCTCTCAATTACCTTTGCGTCAATTTCATCCATTTAAGGATGTTGTCTATCCAAATGCTGAGAATAGTAAAAGGGAGAATGAGAATTGAGAAAATAATTGTCCTCTCAAAATCCAAAATATTTACAACAATATTTTGGATCAAATATTTAAATGGTATCTAGCCCTTCTTCCGGTTCAAATAAATATTTGAATCGTCTAAGTCTGTAGATTAGCCAATGGCACTTACTAATTTAGCAATCAACATTTACAACAAGGTAATTGAAATACAAAAAGAATCTTGTATATATACATGTTTAATCCTACACATCCCATGCTCCTATCTAAACTGATTAACTAATGATCTCTTTAGGCCTCCACCTCTCATGTAATAAACAATAAAATCAAACTCAAGTGTATATATTTAATGGAAGTTTTGGTAATCTAATTTGTTTATTAATAGTCCTAAACAAGTAATAACTCACTCGTTCGGATAGTTGACCACCGAAATTGAAGTGTAAAAATAGCATAAATGTGTTGACTATGGACATTAAAAAAAAATATAAATTCTCTGTATTCATGCCAATCAAAAGGGTCAAAATTGGAAAGGAAAGCGCCTAATAGATCTCATGTATTAAATGGAATAAATTCAAAACAAAGGGATGAAGCTTCACTCATGCATCTAC